TCGATATTTTTTGAGGAGCTCGATAGCGCAGGTGGATAGCTCGTCCAACCTGCGATCGTGGAAGTTAAGAAACTTTCGCAATGGTCGGTCATTGTATGTGTGACCAAGACTTCGTGCTTCATAATGTCTTCCGAATGAGGCCGAGACCAATGTGTCACGTTAAACCGTTGGTCTCGGCTGCATTTGCAGTCATTAGTAGCCACCGATCCGCACTGGGCCGCGTGGTGGGTCATGTCCCAATCGTCTTATTCCATGTACAGGGAAGGCCTGTGTCCCACTAGGGGCATTATTAGGGTGGTGATGATCTATGTTTTGCACCATTTCGTAGCGATCGTCTTCGGTAAACGAAAAGGCCAATAACGAAATATAAAGCTATAGCTGCTTGCTCAGTAAGCTGTCTCTGTACTCCTCCGTCATCTCTGCTTTTTGCGTGTACCTATGTCGTCACATCACGTCTCGCATTCATCATGCTGTATTGTGACCTCGTCTTTTGTTGGAGCAACACCGAGCCGACACGTGTGTGTGGGCTCCATAGAAAAACCCGCTCAATCCAAACTGAATGCGGTAATACCGCGAGTGGATTTATCATACTTAACATTGTAAGGACGACTGTCGTTCGTTTGCGAAATCGTTCCTACCCACGTATCTATTGTCGGACTTTGTTGGAGGGAAAATATTTTTATAGGTGCGTTAGAAGGTTCAATTTATTTATGGAATACGAGGCAGACATTAATTATAATTATCGATTTGATAATAATTCCTTGTTAAAGCTGTATGATAATCTAGTCTGTGGTCAGTCAACTTATTAATTAATAAGTTTTTTTTTCTGAGGCTCCATCTTAGAGGCATAAATATGCTTGTGTCGTGTTGTTTTGTGACGCGATCGGTTTCATATATTTAGTACAGTTAGAACATATATACTTGGGTGTCGCGATGTGTCGATAGCGTTCTCTTTCTAACCGTCTTAAATGTATGAAACCGATAGCTCTCTGACACGTCAGCAAAATACGACAAATAAGTAAAGTTCTGCCATTACTTTTGTAAAACTCTTCTTTTTCATTTTGTATTAAGCTGTGCAAGGAGACAGACCTTTTCATGGCGAAATACAAAAAGATAATTATAGTTTATATTATTGAAACCTATGAATTTTAAATCCTTTGTTTTAATTAGAACCTCAAAACCATTACGTTATGGGCCCAGTGAAATCTGCTTAGCTTTAAAGTCAATCAGTTATAAATTTATTATTAAATTTATAGAGGAAAGTTTCAAATTGAAAAGAAATATCAAACCATTCAAAAAATAAAGTTTGTTGAAATTTCAAATTCGTTTGCTATAGGAGATGGATACTATTAAGGTAATTACCGAAGGCCCAATCAAAAGAAGCAGTGAGTGGGAGAAAAATAAATAATTGCATCACTACAAACGTCATTGTCGAATACTTATCTAATTCTTACCTCGGGCTTGAAAAGGAACAAAAATACAGCGCGGGAAATCATAAAGAGGGTCAGATGAACTATATCAACGTAAAAGAATTGCAAACTCAGTTGGCTTACCGTAAAAAGTTATTGCTGCTGGCATATTTCCTGTAGTTTTCATATGTTTTATATGGACTCGCCGCACACGGTTGAAGCCGGTGGCCGCCACACGCTACAAATCATCGTTGGTCGCTTCTTGTGGCCCGCACCGGCCACTAATGCGCCGATACAAAACTCCGCCACACGCCACTCGCGCGATTCCCCACCTTCTTCGTGAGTCCATTATGATACTGCACGCATAGCAGCTACCGACGGCAAGTGTCGACCACCGGCCATAAGTGGCTGTCGCGCGCTTCAGCTATCTTTGTAGCCGCTTCTAGCTTGACTCGGCGGCGTTTGTGGCTGTTTGTGTGCAGCGACACTAAGCTACAATGTGAAACCCCAGGAAAGAGATTTTTCAATTTTTGATGACCTTATTACTGAATTTTTGCTGTGGATGCGACGTTAGAAGAAATCGTCAAAGTTGCTCATTTATTGCTCAAACAACTCTCAACATACGACTTCATTATTACTTCAATCGAAAATTTATCTGAAGATGTTTGGCGTTTGGGAAAGATAGATTTTTAGATCAAGAACGAATCAAATGATACCACTCACAAGTGCCAATGTTTTGCATGTTGAAACCGAATTGATTCGATGTAGTAGAAAAGAAAATTTTACAATAAACAAACACATCTAATTGATAATCTGAAGAAAAGTTATTCCGCAGTCACATAACATAGTGCATGTGGTCACCATCGCAAGAACTAAACATATATTTAAAAATGCAGTATTATAATTGACAAAATAAGAATTTAGCTATCTGATGCTGTAACATTTTTATCAAGTTGTGTGAATGTATGTAGGTATCCAACCAGATAACATATTTTCCAAAAACAGGTTCTACAATGAAACTATACCATAGAGCAACACACAGCCCGATCCTATAACTCAGTAGAGGTATAAATCAAATCCACTTGAAGGTGTGACCAACTTGAAATATTTGGTTACCATTTGGCAATGTTTGTCCAAGGGATCGATCCGTCAATCGGACTACGGGGAAATTCGGGACAAAACGTTCCGCTACTCAGTCAGTGGTCAGTTACCAACCGCATTATGTGGTCACAACCTGGACATTATAGCTTTACCGACCAATTCATTTGAGTTTATCGACCCATGGCACCTGTAAAGAGTACGAAACGTCAATATCGTGAAATTATATTTAGCGCAGGAGTTTATGAGTGTTTTACCAAAAGTTATAAATGGTTTTAAATTTACTATGTTGCGTTATATTTTGTTAGTGTAATAGTGCATACCTACCTACTCGTAACATTGAAGTGAAAGGAAAATGTGTTTCTTAATGATTTCATGTTATATTTAGAATGTACTTGTAGGGGTGTAAAGGTAATCTTTTTAATTTTAATAACATCATTCATATTGAACAGGTGTGTATTTATGTGGCAAAATTTGTTAATTTTTCTGAAGAAAATTTTACTAGTAAAACTTGCACGCGTTTCAGGTAGCAGACTATCTGGACGGATACCCAAATTATGCTATCGCGGTTTTAATAGCCGTGTTGATATTTTTAGTATTTCTTATTAAGCTTAAAGGCAGCGCCTTTTTTAGTAAAATTTTTGTTTTGTACCCAAAAAATATGTTTAATAATAAAATTTTATTCTACCACTTTGTCGGCGCGATTGGAATACATACCTCCACAAAGTTACAGCTCTAGTGCCAACAGTCTCCAAGTAAAACATTGGATGGACAGACAGACGGACATGATGGTTCCTTGCCAGGATTACGGAAAACAGCTAAACCGATTTCAATAGAAATTTTATTTGTGCTTTCTAACGTGGGAGGTGGTCGATGGCGCAGGTGGTAATCGCGTTTATCCTACAATTTATTATCGAGTTAGGCATCTTTCGCAATTGTCGGGCATTGCATGGGTGACCCAAAGTTTACTATTTTATTTCGAGCCTCGGTGCTTCGAAAGTCTCGTTAAGCCCAGTCACATTAGGTCTTGGCTGCACCAGCAGTCGTTAGCACCTACCAATCCACATTGGGCCCACGTGGAGGGTCAAGGCCCAATCTCCCTATTCCATCCATAGGGAAGGCCTATGCCCCAGCAGTGGAAACATTATTAGGATGATGATGGTGATGGTAATGATGAATGGTTACCTAGAACCTGGGTAGCTTAGATTAATAACTGTATCCAGGGTGTAGTATATTCTTGTAGACAGAATATAGGATTTTTATATTTTATCAGGCAGGAAAAATCACATGTTAGACCAATGACCGATGAATACAAAAGAAAAAAACAGAATATGTAATTATATTTGTAATTTTTTAAGCATGTAACTGCTAGACGTTTAAATCCAAAGGATTTTGGGTTACCTACAATGCGAAGAGATGGCGCTGCCTTGCAGCTTTAGAAGGGCTAGAGAAAGCTCGACACGGCCGTCAGGGCCGCGGTAGCATAATGGTCAGTGCATTCGCCCGGACAGCGAAGGCTGCGGGTTCTAGTCCCGTCTGCTGTCTGGTCCGCGTGGATTTTTTTCTAGTAAAATTTACAATATGTGATTTTATTTTTATTAATAATAAATTTTAGTTAATAATAAGTAGTCATAATAAAGAAGCAAAGAAAATATCAGGCGAGTATTAAAAACTAGATGTAAACTGAAGCCTAGAAAAATAGTCCTTACTTATGATATCTACCTTGTTTGCCGTTTCAAAACTGAAAAGAAGAAAACCTAATGAAATCAGTGGAATGACACTTGTATGTTGATGTTTGCTTTTGTCGATCGATTGGCGAAGCGCAACACATCTCTTACAATGTTATTTTTCCTCTGTTTGTTTATTTTTCTTTACTTATAGGACTGAGTCTGGGGTCGTACTGTTATAATCTACAATGCATGTATCGTGCGTGAACTTCGTCACGTCGTGTCCTACTCTACTTAGTAAGTTAGAGAAGGCCATGTCGATCGGTACCTATATCGAAAGTCCAGTTTAATGGTAGAGACGCAGTTGTGTAAAATAAACAAACGATGTATTTTTTCCATATAAAAAAGCTCTTCTTTCTTGTTAGATCTTGGAATTCGCCCACTACTAACTTCCCCGTACAAATGAAAACTTATGTTCGGAGCATAGTAGTTTTACGAACTGCTTTCGTTAATAGGTTGTTTTCAATCGTTTTAGACTCGATCTTTTCTTAAATCGGCCGCATGTGTGGGTTTGGAAATTATATTCAAAGACTTTTTATCTACCAATCGTAAAAATGTTCTTTCCCAATCGCTGCCGTAGGATAATATAGGACGACTAAAAATTTATAATCTCGAGCTTCTCCGTGCCTTGTTATGCACCGTTAGTACCCAATTATTTGAGCCACGGAATCGATCAGGACCCAATCACCATATTCCCATCCATAGGAGAGGCCCCATCATTGGACGATAATAAGCTTATGATGATGTATCTTCGTCTTTGTTTCAGACCAAAATGAACCGCGGATCCAGGGAAGAGCTGCTGGGCAGCTCGCAAGAGGCGATAAGAAACAGCCAGCACGACCTGCGCAGCTTCTCTGACAGGCCACTTACCCGGGAAGAGAAGACATTCCTCCTCCACGCAGACAGAGGCGACTATGTCACCGTTAAGAGGTAATGGTACTTATCTATAGAAAGAAGAATAAAATTCTCCTCGTAATGCTAATACTTCTTAATGGAGTAACAGGAGGTGTTGAAGAACATCGATCACGACCTTCGCAGCTTCTGCGACAGGCTACTTTCCCGCTAAGAGAAAAAAATCCTCTTCCACGTAGACGTAGATTTTACTCATCTATGGAAAGAGGAACAAAATTCTTAACGCAGTAACAGGAGGTACTGAGGAACTGCCAGCACAATGTCTGCAGCTACTGCGAGCGACTCCTTTCCGTGGGAAGAGAAGATTTTCCATCTTCACGCAGACATAGGCTAGCTCACCGTTAAGAGGTAACTTTACTCATCTATACATAGACGACCAAAATTCTTCTAATACTAGCACTTTTTAACGGAGCAACAGGAGGTGCTGAGGAACAGCCAGCATAATCTCAGCAGCTTTTGCTACATGCTTTTCTCCCGGGAAGAGTAGACCTTCTTCCTCCACGCAGACAGAGGCGAATATGTCACCGTTAATAGGTAACTTTACTTATACCTATATATGGAAAGACGAACAAAATTCTCCTAATGCTAGCACGTCTTAACGGAGTAACTGGAGACTCTATGGAACAGCCGTCATGACCTTTAAAGCTTCTGACGGCCCCCCCTCCTGGGAAGAGAAGACCTCCTTCCTCCAGACAGACAGAGGTGACTATGTCACTGTTAAGAGACAGAAAACTTTATTGTAAGAAGGACTTCACGAAAAATATTGAAGTATATCCAGAGTTATGGCTCTTTTTTTACCATTCATGACGCCTACAAACCCTTGGTTGCATGTTTGAGTGTTTTCTACAGGCATGCATTTGTAAGCGACCTATTTTGGTGGACAAAGAAGTCCGCGTACAAAAGTCCTTCTTCTGCGCAGGCCATTAGAGAACTGAAAAGGTCTAATTTCGGCCAACAGGCGACCACTAGTTAAATTCATTTCTTACTGTTATATAATTTTTATTTCTTGGAGCAATGCAATATGCAATTCCAGATGTTACTTAAGTGACGGTTACCTAAAGACATATGTGCCTTTGTGACTCGCCTCAATACCGAGTCAAAGTCCTTTACTCTGGTAGTTTTCTGGCTTTTAGAGAATTAATCTGATGTGAATGGATGGTCGGTTAAAGTCGCAGATGGATTTTATCTTTATCGGTTAGTTGTCCGTTCGCTAAAAAGTTTGCTTTATTTAAATACATTTTCGAGTCTAATACTTTTTATTTCGATTGTATTCTTCTAATAATTTGCATGCCTTGTGACTGGGGGGTGTCATAAATTACCCGCTCGAACTGTTTGGTAAAAATCTTTTAATGTTACAGCTTATGTACAACTTCAACTTCAAAAAAACCTTGATCTACATATTTAGTATAAAAAAACAACTGCATATTTGTGCGTAGGTGTGCTACTGTTGAACACTTTATTTAGTATTTTCTGGTGAAATTTAGAATTAGTTTAGCTTAAAGAAATTATTATTAGGATGCCAATTGTAATATAATAAGTTGACAGCATATCGTGTGTTTATGAAATATCCATCGATACGCTTCTTGATGAAAAATAGATGTTGTCCGATTCTCAGACCTACTGAATATGCATATAAAATATCACGAAAATTGGTCGAGCTGATTTTGAGTAGTTCAATTACGCGCACACACACAAGAATTTTATATATTAGATTCTGTTTTTGTTGGAAGCATTTCATTTTATAACTTCTACCTTTAAAGTAACGTTTTCATTCTCAAAGCTAATCACGAGTCTTCTGAAGGTTTCTCGTCAGCTCGACAAATTTCCATATCGCTAGTGCCATGAGTGGTGTTTTGGTAAGAATACTACCCACCCTATTCGAGCGGGAATTCCGCCATTCCCCATTATTGTTTGTTTATTTCTTTATTTTATCCAGGAAGAGCAACAGCTGAATTATATTAATAAGACAAAAATAACAGGAAGCCATTTATAGGTCCTGAGTCCTTACCAATTTTTTCCCCCTTACTGTTTTCTTCTCATCCCATCATAGGTTTCACAAATTTTATACCTTACCATTAAGTTTTCACAATTATTTCCTAAATCCTCATATAATTTGGTTGTGGTTGGATGAGTTTTTTGAAAAGATCACTCAGTCCACACGCACATCATATAATGAGCTAGTTCATTTACATCCTTTAAGATTGAAATGTCAGTAATTCTAAACTTCTAAACTTTAACCCCCTTATTGATAAACGAAGACCAAGCTTGGATTAGTAACTCTATGTTTTGTCTCTGATTATGGCAAATGGCCCTTGAGTGATATGAACAAAACATGGCGTAAGTAGTCCAAGCTTATTCCTCTTTTATTAATATATTTTTCCTCTTAAATTGGAGCGCCAGCTGTGAAGGTAACCTACACCTTAAAATATTTTTTACCTTAGGTGTTTCTATCGGCGAGGAAGGTTCCAGGGCTCAACGAGCTAGGGGATTGGGTCAGGGCAGGCAACGGTGATAATGATATTTTCTGTATCGCAAGCGTCTATAAGCTATGGTGGCCGTTTACCATCAGGCTTTTCACATAAAAAACGCGGAAGAATCCCTAAACGGGGATCCCATGGCTTCGCACTAAACAGCTTAGAGGGTATTCGCAGGGTTAGCGGATATTATGGCGTAAAGCGCCCGTAAGAGTTACGGGGTCCTCAGTGGGCAGTCACTTCGGGGGCCCGTAAAGCTTGCGGGAGCCAGGTGTGAGGTCCGTTCGGCGGTGTGCCTCTTAAAGGCGCCGTCGTCTGTAAACAGAGGTTTTGCCTGCGTTAACAAAAAAAAAGGCTTTTAACATAAAAACCAACTTTTTAATAGCAGCTGCGTTTCAGACACTATTGACAAAAGATTAACACGTTACATTTTATAGCGGTTGACACAAATACTGTACCGATTCGGGGCAGCCTGACCGCTCAGTTGTCCACCCCGAAAAGGAATCACTACAGCTGCTCTAATCCTATTAACGAGTCGATACCAGCTTTGGGGATTTATCTCACTCGAAATGCGCCATTGTATGTACAACACGAAAGCGTTTGGTCTGCGTTTTATTTTACTGAACACACAAAATAGGCACCAAATGGACATCAAATTGGATAATTTCATAATGTCCCTATCATCTTGTTTGCGTGACTGGCTATCCAAAACCATGCGTTTTTGTTGAAATTTTTTACCACGTATATATACCTAAGCATTAGTATTAATCGGTTATTTCATTATTATCATTCGGTAATATCATTATCAATTATCAGTTTCTAACATTGTTATAGCATCTTCTATCCTTTGCTTGATTCTATCATATTATTCAATCTAGGAAATATCTCCTTAAGTGTTTCGAGACCAATACGCCCCAAAAACTAGAAAGAAAAGCGTACTCCTTCCTTAAAAGCCGGCATCGAATCTGTGTCACTCCTGGAACTCTATTTTTGATTCGCTCGCCTGACATAGTATTGTCGAATGCGACTGAAGTCACTTTCGACTGCCAAGTCGCATGATATTGATTTTCCGTATTTTTTAATCGTACATCAGTATTACCAGTTTAATACAAAATATTTATTTTTATTAATTTCACGGTAAAAGATAAAAAGCAGTCATTACCGCTGTGAAAAATAAACGTATAATTCTCAATAACTAGTTATTTAATCTTTTGCCTTTTTTGTTAGAAAAGATCAAAACTTCGCAAAAAATCGTCATCTTATCTGTATTTTAAAAAGATTGAGAAAAAATCTTTAAAATATCTGACATAACTTTGACAATTATTCTACCATTCGCCTCCATCATTCGCCTACGCGCAACGAGTGGTCGAGACCGATCGTTGATGTCGAGCGATTCAAAAATACGGAATCTGGTGTTGTAGATGTCTACGGGCAACGGTGGTCACTTACCATCTGGTGAGCCGTCTGCTCGTATGCCCCTCCCCCCTATTATATAAAAATCGACAATATTAAAAATAGAAGACTATAGCGACTATAGTTTTATTAATGTTTAATCTTCTTTCCAGATCTTTAAAATTTTATGAAAATTACGTAGCAACAGATAAAACTTTGTTCCACTACTTAGTAAGCGGTCATGATCAGACCCGTCTTTCCCAGTGAGCACTTTGGGCAAGTGCCCAGGGCCCCGCGATCGTAGGGGGCCTCCTCAGATCAAATACAAAGTCCCTAGTTCCTGTTAAATCACCAAACGGAAGTCATAGGGGCCCCATTATCCTAATATGCCCAGGCCCTCCAATAGGTCAAAGACGGCACTAGTCATGATACCTTAGAAACGTTGTAGATATCAAGATTCAGAAATCTTGTGTATGCTTGCTTGGTCTAAGAACTAATGCCTAAGAATAATTCCCCAAAGCAGTCTTTTCTTACCCCACATCTCTTTAAGTACGATTCCTTGAAAATAAATGTATTTTTTTTTGTTGAAAGATAAAAGGGTGACAAACTTGCTTTAGGTCTTCTTAGCGAGAAGCGGTTACCATAGCCTTTTTTATATTAAAAGACGTTTGTATCGGATACAAAAAATATCACTCGCGCCGTTGCCTGACCCAATACTCCACCCCGTGGAACCCTGGAACTATACTCACCGACAGAAACCCGACACCACCAATAGGTAGTGTTATTTTACTGTGATCTTCTGTGAGGAGACTTCGCCAGACGGGCGCTCAAATTAAAGCGGGAAATTCGCCACTTCCTATCTCTAATAAATAATAACATTGTGATAGTATAACCGTTTATGTAACGAATACTTACTACCGAATTTTGTCCAAGTCAGACGAACGGCATAATAGATCCGAGCGAACTAGTTCTTCCTTCAGCGATCATCTCAGATACTTGAGAAATACCTACCTTGGGTGGAGTTGGAGCCAACGTTTACTGCAATCTTGCCTTCACAATACTTCGCAGATTAGGCACTGAACGCCTCAAAGGAATTCAATATTGTAGGCTGATTGCACTGAGCATCTTCACTTTTATATCTTTCGCGGTCCGCCCTGGTTTTGCTCGGGTGATCTTTATTTTAACGCCATAAAATATATCCTATTTTATTAAGGGATATTCTTGGGATATTGTAAAATTCTAAGAGCCTGCGCTGCGTGAGCCGTGTCTCCCGCTTCCCACGAACATCCGCTACGTGTTCCCGTTTAACACAGAGCAGGCTGTTGTAAAAATGGTTGTTTAAATTCAACATGAAACGGTGAATTGTCATTCGTTTTTTTACAAATATGTACCTAAAATAAAAAGTACATTTTAATTGAAATGCTTTAGCTATTATTGGTTTATATTTTCACTCTTACTGTTCATTCTTAACAATAAATCAAACAACTTATTACGTACGAATGCTACCACATTTTTTTGCGCAGAAACCAAAATTGACAATTCTAACCCAACAGCGCGCGATATTAAAAATGAAGTACATACATGAGATTACCTTCTCTTCTATCTATTTTTTGGTATTAGACTGTGTGTCCATACAATGACCCATCACGCGCGGATTCTTGCCGAGCGACAACTGCATTCAGTCACCTTACCAGCTCAACGTGCCTTCCAAAGCACTATAGAGTTCGAGATCATAATATGTTTTTCTTTGTTAAAAGGGTGGCAACCAAACACATGCCTGAGTAAGCGGCCACTAAACATTTGCGATACAAAATATATCACTCGCGCCGTTGCCTATTGAGTACTCCTAGCACGAACCAATATCGAAATCGTATCGTTTGCGAGTCCGAAATGTCACTGTCAAATGTGTACTGATTTTTAGTTCTAGTTACGTACTTTGTTGCGCTACTGTTCAAGTTTCCATACAAAATTTGACATTGACATTTCGCACTCGCAAACGTTACGAATCCGATATTGGTTCGTGCTAAGGGTACTGTTCCAATCCCCAAACCCCTAGAACTCTGGAACCTTACTCACCGACTGAAACACAACCCCACTAAAAGGTAGTGTTATTTTACTGTTGTCTTCTGTAAGGTTGAGGCTTCTTCTCCGGGCGGGCGCTCAAAATTGGAGCGGCAAAACTGCTATGCCATACCTCTCCTACGTTGGTCGCTCATCTTTTAACCGACCATTGGAAATCTGGTTAACTCCCACGATCGTTGGCCGAACACCACCTACTGATCCATAGCGCTTTTCATTACATCAGTAATATATTCCTAATTGTGCTTAGATAACTCGTAAACTTTGATTTCAGATTGATAGAACAATACTCGGGCAACCCCGACATATTGGACATAAACTGCGTGGACCCGCTCAACCGATCCGCGCTCATAGCCGCCATCGAGAACGAGAACATTGAACTCATCAAGTTACTCCTGGACTCTGGGATTCAAGTGAAGGTATGCTTTTATGAGGAGGTCGATGGCGCGGGTGGTTTGCACGTTCGGCTGCGATCGTTGAAGTTAAGCAACTTTCGCAGTGGTCGGTCATTGCATGGGTGACCAAAAATCTTCTATCTCGAGTTCCTCCGTGCTACGGAAGGCTGGTTAAGCAGTTGGTCCCGACTGCATCTGCAGTCGTTAGCACCCGCCAATCCGCACTGGTCCCGCGTGGTGGGTCATGGCCCAATCTCCCTATTCCATCCATAGGGAAGGCCTGTGCCCCAGCAGTGGGGACATTAATAGGCTGATGATGCTTATTCCACACCTGCGTGATGAAGCTTCGGGTGACTTTGGTGCTAAAACGCGCCAAAGCGTTCGATTTTTTGAATATAGTACGCTCCTTCAGCTGTACATACAAATGTATCGTTTACCACGACTTGTTTTAGCATTATATTTTTATTTTTTGAACATTTAACTGCTAGATGTTTAAATCTAAAGGAAATATTTTACAAGAAAGTAATCCACGCGGACCGCAAACAGGGCTCGAACCCGCGCCCTCCGCTATCCGGGCGGATACACTGACCATTATACTACCGCGGCGCTAATTGTCCGTGTTGAATTTTCTCTTGTATTTCTTAGGCTGAAAGGCAGCGCCACATCTTCGCATTGTAGGTTACCCACAATGTCAAATGAATACCTCGATATTACGTTTAAATTGTATGTAGGTAAATACTATTTATTATCTTTCGCGCTTAATGCGATCAAACTGAACGAAGGAATGAAAAAAAATAGATAACATTTACACACAAAAATAGCTCGCAAAAATGTCACCAGGCAACCCGCAGAACTAACGAGGCTAACTACATAGGTACTCATGTAGGTATTGACGAGAAGAAAAAACAGAAACTATTGTCTCACGAAACACGAGATTCTTCGGTTGGATGGGTAGGTACATGTCCCTCGGGAAATCACTCCTCCGATGGCTTGCATGATCACATTCCAGACATTTTCATAAACGTCCGCGAGTCTGTCGTGGCGACGAATAAAATCCGGTGATTAAATTTTACGGTCGTTCGTTTCTGTATTAACACTGTTCTTGTGAAGAAGAATTTTGTTTTAATGTTTTATTTTTTTGAGGAAATGTCATTTCTGTCATCTTACTGAATTTATAATTTACCTTATTTCAATAATTATGTTGATATTACAGCACCAATATTGTTTTTTTCTACAATTTCCACGTGCACACGGAACTTTAAGTTACGTGTGTATTTTTACTATGGAATCGGTAATTGAATTTTTCATTATGTTATATGTATCTTTAATGGTTTGACTTTCATGTATTTTTCCGTATGAGTACAATTTCTTAATAGTTTTATTTGCGTTCTCTGCAATGGCATAATCGAAATAGCCAATCCCCATTTTTCTATTAAATATTCTTAATGCGACTTCACTAGGGGTTTATAAATTATATCACGTATCTAATTTGGAAAGAAATAATTAAACTAAACTGACATAATGCGCCTTTTAATGGAACTAGTTTCGTTCTAAAATGGTCAACAGTATGCCATTTCCGAGGTAATTAAATAAATAAATAAATATTTCCGACACTCACACCAATTAGCCTAGCCCCAAAGTAAGCACTATAAGGCTTGTGTTATGGGATGCTAGGGTAACGGATAGAATACATATACTGTACATATATAAGTATATTTATATAAATACATATTAAACATCCATGACTGGAGTACAAATGCTCGTATTGATCACACAAACATCTGCCCCCACCGGGATTCGAACCCGGGACCTCTCGAGTCGGCGACAGCCATGAAATCCGGCGTACAAACCACTCGGCCACGGAGGTCGTCAAATTGATATTGCACCTCTATAATTCAAGATAATTTTACATTAAATCGTCTTTTGATTTCAATCGTAGGCATTCAAAACAACTGCTCATTTATAGCAGCACGTTTTTGCCCGAAGATTTGAGCAAATACATAGCCATATTTGTTTCATAGATTTTCACGCACATCACTCATTAAATAAAACAAGTTTCAACGGGTTAGATGCATTTTATTTTTTGACGTAACGCAGCCTTTGCAGGATTCAGACGACGCATTCCTGCAAAGGCTGCGAAACGTCAATAAATAAATATAATCGATGCATCTAACCCGTTGAAACTTGTTTTATTTAAATACATAGCCAGTTATTTGGTGAGAAGTTGCATTTCGCTGCAAATCAATGATGAGTAAGCTATCGTTTGATGTCTTAACTGTAATGTTGGTATGATATCATTCGGTCTTATGTGGAGGAAAATCGTGAAAGACTTGTGTCTGATGTTGAGCTGTCGCTTAATAGAGTATGACAATCAGTCTATTAAATTCAATATATTTTATCCTCTCTAAGCGAGGATGTTTAGATGCGATCTTCATTTCTCTATGGTTGAACATTATGTTGGTAGAATACCTACTATAACTTTACAAACCCATTTCAAAACAGAGTTGCTTAATATTATATTGAATCGTAACTTATGAAAGAGATTAGTACCCACTACTATTTATATTCTGCGTCATCAAGAAACTACAATTTAATTCACAATACTAACATAACCTATCTTAGAGTAGATCGTTCCAATGGAAGAACTTGTTCTTTAGACTAACAGTTCAGATGTTGTTTAAGATTTTTGAGAAAATTCGCGAACAATGTACCCTGTGATTTACTGTTTGGCTATTAATAATTTGATTTACATTTGGGGTTTTTTCATAACAATCGTACATAAAGCACTTACCTACCTCTCTAGAGTTTTGCCATATCGTTTTGTACGTTTTCTCTGTCGTTTGTGTTATGCACTAAAATTACTCTACGCTGAAGTTCAGAATCAGTTAAGAAGATTTTATGATGTATGTTTGAGTACAAACATACCTACACCATAATCTTACTTTTTACGATATAAGTAGGTATTACGTAAAAACTAGTCATTAAGTATTACATTTATTAAACGAACTAGCTGTAGTGAACTATAAAGCACTTATTATGTATTTATTATGCATTTAACTGCTAGGTGTTAAAATCTAAAAAAAAACTAGAAAAATCCACTCGGTAGACCGACCTATTTTGAATCCTGTCTGTAACCTCTAGATTCAAACCCGCATCATCCGCCACCCGCTCGGATAGCGGAGAAACAAATAGTATATTTTCATTCTGTGCTTACTATAGATAATCTACGTAACATAGCATAATGTTAATAAAAATCCATTGCAATACGCATACACATATCTTTTTTTGAAAATCCACCAAAATCTTATTAAGTTACAATTTACACACAAGTAACATTAGATAGATAGATAGTTAATTCTTTTTTGAACACACCACATTATATAGTACAAAGTTAGGAGAATAATTTAAAAAGGTGGACAATTGGCGGTCTTATGGCTATGTAACCATTTCTTCCAAATAACCATAGGATGGAGAGACGAAATTTAATTAAAGAGGGGGCGTGCAATTACAAAACTAAAAAAGAAAACAAAATATAACCATGATTAACATTACTGTTCATATTATAAAATAGAAACTATGATAAAAATTCAAATAAACAAACAAGAATATACATTGGTACATAAAATCAATTATTAAATAAATCATTTACCATGACCTATTTTCTTCGTTTACGTTCATAACTTATTAAACCCTTCATAGTGAATAAGTAGCTACCTTAATAATTGATCTTTATAACTTTCTCTTTAATTAGGATGCTCTTCTACACGCCATCAAAGAAGAATATGTGGAGGCTGTAGAAATACTTCTACAATGGGAAGAGGACAACCATGTGCCCGGCGAACAATACGTGAGTGCAAAGAAAAGCTTCAAACTATCAGTTACCATGTTTTTACTTTGATTTTAGGTAACGTTGTTACACCACACCGATGAATGAAATGAAAATTGTATTAATATAAGTTATTTACGGGATCGTTACCATGTACTTTGTTTTTAACGAGTTTCCGATATTTCGGCACTGTTACAAGCGCCTTGATCACGGAGTAACAACAAGGTAGTACATGGTAACTATCCCGTAATTAACTTATGTTACTATAATGTTAGTGACCATGATTAGTTTAAAAGAAAATTGTATATCCAACATTTACAATATGGAACAAAGAAGTCTGCAGTTAAAACATAATTTTGAATAGAGTTTATTGAGCCGAGCAAAAATTTGACTTTTGGCTTGGTTTTGACTGAGTAAGACAACCTAGTTTTTGACGTGACAACGTCTTAAATTAGGTTGCGGCTGGGAGTCACTTATGAAAAAGTGTAACGCTCGGTAACGTTACGATGAGTCTCTCGTGTTAAGTTTAAGTTTACATGTACAATGTTTTAGTAAACAAAATATATTTCTATAGTTAAAATTTGTGCAATTCTTATTTTCATTCAATTCCTTGTTCCTATTGTGCAATTTAATTATATTCATATCAATAAATATTCTACCGAGAAAAAGACGTTGTCACGTAAAATCTTCGCCCGTAAAACCGACTTTACAGGCAACCATTTTTTTTTTAAATGAGTTCATTGTTGATAACGTTATGTACAGGGTCGGTTGGACAAGAATCATTTTATGCAAAAGGAATGTTTTGCCACGTCTTCCTTCCCTCATATAAACCGGTGTCCTTTAAAAGTGGCGGGAAGAAAAAACTTGTAGGCTGGCAAGGTGATGGTGGCTGGTGAGGTGAATCTGCTGCACCAGTTATCTTCGTGTCACTTAATATCATTTAAGGTGGAGTCATGTTTTCAGGTCCCTGTATAAACAATGTCTTATAAAGTCTTAGTATTGATTATTATTTTAGGAGCTTTTTGGGGAGCTCGATGGCGCGCGTGGATAGCGCCTTTGGCCTGCGCTAGTGGAAGTTAACGTATTTTCGGAATGGTTAGTTATTGGATGGCTGATTAAAAACTTATTATCTCGTGCTCCTCCGTACTTCGGAAGGCATAGCGTGCCTTCCGAAGTACGGAGCAGCCGGTACGGAGCAGCCGGTTGCACAATCGTTACCAACTACTAATCCGCACTAGACCCGCGTGGTGAGTCATAGCCCAATCTCCCTATATTCCATCCAGATGGAAATTTAAAAATGATGATTGATAATTTTCCTTCTGGCCATAGAGTTGGGAGTCCGTCGACACATCAGCGGCTACATTCACGCCGGACATCACACCTTTAATCCTGGCAGCTCACAGGAATCACTACGAGATCCTCAAGATCCTGCTGGACAGAGGTGCAACGCTTCCTGTGCCGCACGACGTCAAGTAGGTACAGACCTGCATTCATCCGATCATCGTCATCGTTATTCGGTGTTCATTGAATTTGTTTTTTTATCACCCGTGATTTAACTTCACTCGGTCAACGTTGCCACTTATTAATTTTTGTGATGCCACCCACCACTGTAGCAGACTAGTGTGTGGGTCAGCGTGGCCGTGCTGCTAACGCTGTGTGGATGTGTATGTGTGTGTGTACGTGTGGGTATGGTTGTATGTATTGGTGTTCGTGTGTTTATGATACGTTTAGATACAAATTTATATATAATTACAATAAATAGATCTGCCTTGCCATTCAACGTGGCAATACTGCCAGCCTATTGGGCACTTCCTGACGGCGGTGCTGGGGGTGACTTATTTTTCATTTTGTAAATTAGATATTATTTAAGGTAATTCGTATTTAATTTTTTTTTCATCAGATAGTTCTTAAGTTTTTGTTATTTTATTTCTATATATTGTAATTCTATAAATAAATTATACTATAAATAGATTCTACTGATATTATTTGACATTCATGGAGATCATCCCAGGATTAAACGGATAATCATAAGTACCTTCTGAATGATTGTAAAAGCAGGTTAAAAATCATTTGTCATAAAATTCACCAATCGTACATTTTTTTAATAATTACTACTAACAGGACAAATTAAATAACGTTTCAAAATTGCAACTCTTTGACATTCAATGTTTCAACAATACTTTCAGATCCTAGTAGCATTTATATTCAAACAATCGAAATCAGTGACACAATAAGAAAATAAATTGCATAAAAGCCTTATAAGATCACTGACACAGTATATATAAGATTCTAAAGACACTGATGAATTAACAAATTACCTATATAGATGCTCCATCAATATACCAACTAACCACTCTTTGGCATTATACAGGTGTGGTTGCGACGAATGCGTCAAGTCGTCTCAAGAAGATTCCCTCCGGCACTCCCAAGCTCGGATCAACGCATACCGAGCTCTCACTTCTCCGTCCCTTATCGCTCTATCATCAGCCGACCCTCTTCTAACCGCTTTCCAATTGTCCTGGGAACTGGGGCGGCTGAGCCGAATGGAGACTGAGTTCCGAGTGGAGTACAAGGTGAATTATAGTCTAATCCTATAGAGTTCACATCACTCTGTCCCTCATCGCTTTGTCATCAACCGACACCCTTCTGACCGCCTTCCAGTAGTCCTGGGAACTGGGGCGGCTGAGCCGCATGGAGACTGAATTCCAACTGGAGTACAAGATGAACTATAGTCTAATCCTCTAGAGTTCACATCTCTCTGTCCGTCATCGCTTTGTCATCAGCCGACCCTCTTCTAACCGCCTTCCAGTTGTCCTGGAACTGGGTCGCTAAGCCGAATGGAGACTGAGTTCCGAGTGGAGTACAAGGTGAACTATAATCTAATCCTCTAGAGTTCACATCTCTCTGTTCCTCATCGCTTTGCCAACGGCCGACCCTTTTCTAACCGCCTTCCAGTTGTCCTAGGAACTGGGACGGCTGAGCCGAATGGAGACTGAATTCCGAGTGGAATAAAAGGTCATCATCATCAGCCTATAATATCCCCACTGCTGTGGCACAAGCCTTCCTTTAGAATGGCATAGGGAGATTGGGCCGTAACCCACCACGCGTGTCTAGTGTAGATTGGTGGGTGCTACTGCAGATGCAACCGGGACCAACAGTTTAACGTGCCTTCCGTAGCACGGAGGACCTCGAGATAATAAGTTTTTGGTCACTCATCCAATGGCCAACTATCGCAGGATAAACCTATGCCATCGAGCTCCCCAGCCATCGAGTGAAGTACAAGGTGAGCTAACTTTAAGGACGAACCCATCCAGTTGTCCTGAGAACTGAGACGGCAGTGGTGGGTGCAAATGCAGCCGGGATCAACGGCTACACGTGCTTTAGCTTTAGGGTGAGCTCGAGATATTATGTTTTTGGTCACCCATTCAAAAACAATCCATTGCAAAAGTTGCTTAGTTTTTACGATCGCAGACCGAACGCACTTACCACCTGCGCCATCGACCTACCCAGCCATCGAGCGAAGTACAAGATGAACTAACTTTAAGATCTAATGGTACCGAGCTCTCACCGCTCCGTCCCTCATCGCATTATCATCAGCCGACCCTCATCTGACCGCTTTCCAGTTGTCCTGGGAATTGGGGTGGCTGAGCCGAATGGAGACTGAATTCCGAATGGAGTACAAAGTGAACTATCTTTCCAGTACTTGAGGTCTAAAATCAACACTTTTTTTAATTTTTTAACTAGATGGCGATACTGTGTTAACGTAATATATCTACTCTCGCCGCTTTTATCGAAATCTCCCCATGTGCCATTGCGTATGAACGACTGTCTGTGTTTTCTCCATTGATTTCTCCAAAATTGATAAAGAAAGTCATAACTGAGTCAAAACTATTTCTATCATTATAAGAGTATTTCCCATAGTCCTTCGATCCGGATTCAGCTACCATTTTATTGTAAGCTTATTACAATAATTATAGTTCTCTTTTTTGTCTTTAGGCGCTTAGACAGCAATGCCAAGAGTTTGCAACATCGTTGCTAGATCACACGAGAACTTCCAGAGAACTGGAAATAATGCTCAACTACAACCCGTGGGATACAGACAGCTGGGAACCAGGAGAAAGGCAAACATTAGGAAGGTTAAAACTAGCGATCACATATAAACAGAAAATGGTGAGTGGATATTATTCTTATTCGAAGCTCAGCAAATCACTTTAATCCACAAAATAGCGGAGTCTACTTGCGGAGATAACTGATGTGCTCCAGCCATCACAACTCAACTTGCCGACCCTTATCATGGTAACGCGGTGAAGTATTTGTTACGCTTTTGCTTTTCTGATTAAAATAAACTAAATTAAATAAATAAAGTATATAGCGAATAATACAGGTAGGGCATAGCGGATTTTCCCCTCGAGTTTGAGCGCCCGCCTGGGGAAGTAACCTCCTCCTCACAGAAGACCACAGTAAAATAACACTACCTTTTGGTGGTGTTCTGTTTCTGTCCGTTAGTAGGGTTCCAGGTCTCCATGGGGTAGGAGATGGTGTCGTGGCGTGGATGGGACATTTTTCGTATCGCTAGCGTCTATAGGCTATGTGGCAGCTTACCTTCATCAGGCCATATGCTTGTTTGCCATCCTTTCAACAAAAAAATGGTTTGGTATATAGATACAATATTCTGTAAAGTGGACGTTATTTCCCTAGTAGGTACTTCCCACTCATACCGTGCAGGGAATCCGTTCGAAATGTAAAAAAATATCTTTACATTATAATTTAATTTGGCACGCATATAATCTTAATAATATTATTATCTTATTAACTCAAAACAGACTGAAATGTACCTACCTACATTGCCTGCGTTCCAATAAAGACATCATAATAAAGCAATAACTCTACTTAATGCGAGATTACAATCAGCTATATTTTGTTACAGTTTCGGGGAATTGGGGAAATGTACACTATAGCTTCAAAAGAAATAATCTCTCAAATAAATCCTTTTTTTTTGGGAAATCGAAGTAAAAGCTTAATTTCAAGATGACTTGGAATGAAAATAATTGTTTTATGTGTATTTTATCTAAGTTAAAGCCCAGCAATATGGAATGATGGGCGAATGTTATGTTTTATTAATTTATGTTTTTCATTGTGTGGCATAATATTTGTAATTTTTTTAAGTGTTATATAATATGATTTACTATAAGTACTTCTTAAAATAAACATTAAATAATTATTATCGGTCGTTTACACACACAATATAGTTCCGATATATCTCTCGCTACATATGGAACCAGTTCCTAACTGCTCAGAATCTTCCATTTCGTGTAAACTGGGATATATTGAGAGTTACGCCACCTTACTTTTCATTCTACTATAACACACGAACACTATTTTTCCTTACACAAGGAGCTCGAGAACACAATGAGTTTGTATATTTTCTGATTCGTCTTTTATTTCAAAGACTAACTGCTAGTTGTACTATCATGTCGTTGTGACATTGTGCTAAGGCAGGGACCTAGTTGACCTTATTCTGTTTTTTTTTTCAATGTTATTGGTTAATTATTATATTTCTTTCTTTCTTTCATAGTTGAGTAGACGCTTTTCCAAATAAAAATTTCTTAAGTGCTCAGACATTATTTTACTTTAGCCTATAACTTTTACGGCAGTCACATTAATGCTTTTCAAAGTGCCATGTTGTCTTATTGCATTGCTATGTTGTCTTACAAAGTGACTTTATCAACTTTAAATAACGGACAACAAAATATTCCTCATTTCCTTTTTCCGTTACATCCGGCTACACCTGCATAGCATTATGAATTTTTTACTAGAAAATATTCTACTTACTCCAGGTTTCTAATGGGATTCCAACCAGCCTAGGTAGTGAAAGTTGCGAGTTCAGATCCCGTCTGAAACCTGGCCTTTTTCCTAGTAATTACTAAAAAAGAACCACTCAGTCCAGGTTTTCTAGTAAATTTTTCTTAACATTCAAACATCTAGCAGTTAAATACTTAAACATATCTGCATATCCTTAATCTGAGGTTGCACCTAATCATTGTTGTTCGGAGATTTTCAAAACCTCTTACGAATTCTTTCACTTCAATACGTACTGATCCTATGCTTCCTTATGTGCATGGGTTTATTTCCTACAATTCAATAGCTCCCTAAAAAAACAAGTTTGACATGACCTAGAATTAATCCAGAAGTCTCTCTACAATAATTCTAGTTATTTTACCAGTAAAATGATGAATTAGAATATTCGAGAACCTGAAACAATATTATATTTAACGTATAAGTAATTCACGCAATAATAGCGAAATCCTTCGCACATTGGTCGCATCATAGCCATGCGTCACCAAAAATTTCATTCATTATTAAATAATATAATTCTTATTTTAAGCATTTAACTGCTACTTACATGTTTTAAGCTAAAGAAAATATTACTAGGAAAATTCCGGTCCAGGTTTCAAACGGGATCCGTCTAAAAACTGGACCAAATGGACTATTTTCTAGTTATATTTTCATCATAATTAATTTGTAGTTAAAACAACGACAGGTCGGAATCAATACATCACGATCACAATGAATAATGAGAGGTGACGCCAATTAAAACTTTTCACACCGAGTTAGTAGAATATTGATACACATGGTAGTTGTTAGTAGAAATTTCGGTAGAATAGTTTGATAATAAACGGGTGGCGTGTGATTATGTCCTTTATAAGTTATTCAATGAGCGTTTAAAAACTTCACAACTGCCCACGTTAACTGACTAAAATAATAATGCTAATGTTCTATTGATGACTCGGAATGACGTAGGTTCTAGTATATATTATACATCCATGAACCTGGGATTTCGTGATACTTATCTAAGAACCATGACTACTATAATGTTATACTAAAGGACATTGGGCAAAAATGTATGGACGCTGCACCCACGTCCGCCACGGCTTAATCTACATTTGTTTGAAAGGTATTATAGTCATGATCATCTGTGCCAAAGCGCATGAAATTCCATCTCGGGGATCTTTAGTTATTTTAAGTTAAATAGGTACAAGAACTATAACGAACGAACATAAATGAAACAAGGGAATAATTAGATTAGTTAGACCGCATAGGCGGCTCAGCTCAGGTATTATATAAGTATTTACTTCACAAGGTGCAAGGGTGCCCCCTTATGTTATTCTGCCGCACCAGAGTAAATCCAAAAATCCCTGCATGGGTTGATTTTTTCAAACATTCTGTTCGTTATAGTTAATTGTCTTCTATATAAAACGGAGCGACTACAAATCACTCAAACTTGTCCACGCTTCGGAGAAAACATAATTCACGTTCATCCATACTAATTGACAAAACCGATAATCGTGTTAGATAAAAATCAATCTAGTGACAGGGAACGCACAATCACAACGAAGTAAGATGAGTCAACTATTTGAAACTGCAAGTCCTTCAACCCCCGTAAACCGTTTTGAGGTGGCTCAGTAAGTGCAAGCGCAGGATGGTCGGCAGGCTTTTATTTATTTCTTTATTTTGTATGTTGTATTATTATGGTTACTAATAAAATAAAATGAAGGAATTTATTTAGCTACTTAAATATGCCCATTTGTTATATCTTATGACTACCAAGATACTTTTTTACGGTGTCATATCTTTTGACTAACAGGATATTATTTTACGGTGTCATAATAAAAAAGGCTAGTTTTTCATAGATCTATCGCTTCATACTAATTACATTGTTGGCGGAGCTGGGTGTGTTTTGTTTCATAAATATACTCCTTCGTTTTTTCGATTCCTACCGCGCAAAGGGTTGCTCATCAGACAACCCCAATGTTTAATGCCCGCTGCGGGGTATCTGTATGAATTTCAAAAAAGTACATTGTCATTCACGTGCGTTTCGCCGAAACTTTTCATGTGTTTAAAGAACACCCCATGGTTTCAAAATCTTTTATAGATGATTCGTATCATGGGTGTAGTAGGTAAAGTCTTGTATGCAACTGTTAATAACTAGGTATTAAAACACCCATGGTATACTATTATCATACGAGGCACAAAAGGAGCGTGATTATTAAACACTTGAGATTAATTACATTTTAATCTCGTGTTGTCACTGCCTTTGGGACTCTACAACCCTAATTAAATAATGTTGATAAAATTACTTATATGAAATTTTCATTAATGTTAATAAGTATAACATTGTTCCCGGTTCTCGAATATTCAAATTTAATATTTTACTGTTATTACCTAGTCAGGTCATAAATTCTGTCACATGTTTAATATAAAATAATTGAAACAAGTTTATTCATTATGTAACCATTCATATACCAAAATGAACTTAACAAAACAAAGATTCTTATGACAATAAAGGTTATTCAAAATGACCTCCGTGATTTTGAATACAGGCCTTCAATCTGCGCGGCCAGTCGTCTATCGCAGCACGAACGAGGTCTCTCCAAAATCCAAATTGGGATGTGGCTTTGAGCACGCCTTTTCCTCCAAGTGTTGCCATATATTGTAATTTAACGGACTCAAATCTGGACTGGAGGAGGGCCAGTCTTCGTGCCGGATGAAGTCAATTTCACGCGCCGCCAGCCAGTCTTGTGAGCTGGCGCCGAATCTTGTTAGAATACCCAGTGCCTGTTATTGAACATGCTATGAGAAACAGGTTCCACAAGGTTCGTCAGGACTGTATTTTGATACAAAACTGCATTCGTTTTTACACCTTTCTCATAAAAATGTACCTCTTTTAAGCCCGAATAAGAAACTCCCAAACAAACAAACATACCATGAGCGAGGATGAAAAATGACCTCGTTGGACACGCGGAATACGGTTGCTCGCTTCCTCACTACTGTGTGCGTACACCTTATCATTTGTTTGTTGTAGCTCTCTCCTACATAAAATTTTTTTCATCCGAAAAAAGAATTTCCCGATATTTTTTTCCCGCGTACCGCTTCAACAAAGCGCGGCATCTTTTCAGTCTCAGGTCCATTAGACAAGCATTCAAACGATGTCCTGTTTTTCTTCGATATGCCCAAAGCCCTAAGTCTTCATTTAACACCCTTTTTACCGTAGTTCTGCTTAACCCCATCTGAAGGGCCAACAGTTTCTGCTTACGTTTGGGATTTCTTTGAATTCGCGCCTCTACAGCTTTTATCACTGCTAGAGTCCTAACAGACCGAGGGCGACCACT